CTCCCCCCCTTACGTGTAGAACAAGGGTCCCAGGATGACGCTGAAGTCCAGCTTGAGCTGCAGGGCCAACTTGGGAAAGGACATGAGGCCCATCAGCCGGTTGCGGACGTTGTAAACGACGGGCAGACGGCCTGGGTGGGCAAGCGAGTGTATGGGTCAAAACGAAAATGGAGGACGGGACTCGCCGGCGTAGGGGGAAGGCGGGGAATAACATGCAAGAGGCAAATAAGGTGGTTCAGCTGCCGAGAAGCACGGGGAATGTTTTAGAATGCGGGTCTGCGGGTCATCAGCGCTCATCGGGGTGTGGGTGTATTCGTGGGACCTCTGCGTTGGTGTTTGTTTATGTTGGGGGAAAGGGGACAAGGCGCGGAGGAGAGGAAGAAAACTGTCGACTTCTTCCCTTCAGAGGATAATCCGCAAGTCGGTGATTTGTATCTTAGGTGGGATTGTATCACTATGGCTTGCTAATGTAGAAAGCCATCAACAACTCCCAATCCGGAAGAAGGAAAAAATTTGGGAGGCAGGTAAGGTTATTGACTGCCAGATTCGCCAGAGCTCAACTCTCAGACTCCAAAAGCAAGTCAAGTAGAGGACGTAATGGGACGAAGGAGGTCAAGGCCGGCAGCGGTCGGAAGCTGTCCCCACAGCAATCACCCACAGCACCCCAGGCCGACCCTAGCCCGACTCGACCCCACCCACCCACCTACCCCAGTAAGTGCGGGTCCAAGCCTTGGTGGCCATGTTGAGCAGCTCATGAATGCGGTAGTTGACGGGGGTGTCCGGCACGGGCAGCGACAGGTTGTAGTAAGCGTCGTACCTGCGGCGAGTAAATGTTGGTGGCACGGCATACATACTTATAGGCAGGCGGCTGGCAGAAGTTAAGGCCTGACTCCTGCTCTCGGAGATTCCGGGTTCGAATCCGCCTGCCGACCACTCGGTGTGTGAGGGGTGTTGAATTGGGAGGTGGGCCCCCATCTTGCGGACGGTGTAGGACGTTATTATATCAATTTGCGCCAGTTGATCCGCTAGATTTGGTTGGATGCTGGTGGTGAGTTGCTGAACCCAACGAATACATTCTGAAGTCGGATGGGGTGAATAGATTAGGGTGCCTCTCTCGCAGGGGAGAGCAGGGAACTGCCTCCAAGGGAAAGGGGGCCGCTGGTGAAAGCTATACCGCCCTGCAACAACATACATACTTACAGGCTAACAAAAAAGAGTACAATTTTCCACGTCAGCAGTCTTTCCCGCCGAGCGAGCGCTATGAGAATGCGGATCAGGTGGTATGGGGCCTCTCGACAACCTGTCTGAGAGACCGGTGTGGAGGTCAGTCAACCCGCCGGAAACACCCCCCCCGAACCGCCCTGTCCCCACCTAACATAACTCGTACCACCACTCCTACAAGCAGCATGGTAAAAATCGTTCGTAGCAGCAAAAGAGAGAGCTCAGGAGTGTCCCCCCTCCGCTCTTGACAGCCACTCACAACCCGTCCAAATTCCGTCAGCCCTGAAAACCCTCCTGGGCCCCTGGGCCCCAAAAGCCCACTGCCTACCCACTTGAGGGTGGTGGGCCCTAGCTCTCGAAAGTTCCACGCACCGCCGTACTCACGAGTGAAGTACGTCCCATCACAGCGAGCCTGCGCATCATCATGAGGATGGCATCAAAACCATCGCTGCGGCTGTCGGTTGTTGCTCGTTCAAATCCGTTTGTTTAGTTAGTCCGCCAGCCCGCGAAGATTAGTCAGTCGCTCGTTACTCAATCATTCATCCAGAACACACACACACAGAGTCACACACACAGAGTCACACACCTCGCCCACCAGGCATTTAAGCGACACACCGCCCTCCC